TATCTGCAAGAAACCCACCAAGTTCAGAGAACATCAAGGATCCTACAGTCCTCCTTTTCCCTGCAAACCCTACTCCCTTCTAGCACTGATGATGCTACCAAGTTGGGGTAATGAAACGTCTGCAAGAAAGCCACCAAGCTCAGAGAACACCAAGGATCCCATGGTTGTCATCCTCCTCTTCCTTCCTTCCTTCCTTCCTCTCCTCCTCCTCTTCCTCTTTCCTCTCCTCCTCTTCCTCCTCTCCTCCTCCTCCCCATAAACCCTACTCCCCTAGCATTGATGATGCTACCAAGCTCAGAGAACACCAAGGATCCCACAATCCTCGTCCTTCTCCTCCTCCTCTTCTCCTCCTCTCCATAAGCCCTACTCCCTTCTAGCACTAATGATGCTACCAAGTTGGGGTAATGAAACCCCAACTTGGGGTTGTCATCCTCCTCTTTCTCCTTCCTCTCCTCCTCCTCTTCCTTCCTCTCCTACTCTTCCTCCTCCTCCTCTCCATAAGCCCTACTCCCCTAGCATTGATGATGCTACCAAGTTGGGGTAATGAAACGTCTGCAAGAAACCCATCAAGCTCAGAGAACACCAAGGATCCCATAGTCGTCGTCGTCGTCGTCGTCGTCGTCCTCCTCCTCCTCCTCCTCCTCCTCCTCCTCCTCCTCCTCCTCCTCCTCCTCCTCCTCTCCATAAGCCCTACTCCCTTCTAGCACTGATGATGTGACCTAGTTGGGTAATGAAATGTCCGCAAGAAAACAACCAAGCTCGGACAGCATCCAGGACCCCACATTTCAACCCTGAGCTACGAATCTTCTCTTCTGTTGTTAGGAAAAGACCCACCTGGTTTTTTCTGTAGTCCTGTTGAGAATGACGAAGGATTCTGTAGCAAAGTCTAAGCATGTATTTGTATGGGGCGTATCTCTGGTCTCCCAAGTCTTCCAATCTCAACATGGCTCCCTCGCCAGCTTTCTCTTTAAACGGGGTTTTCAGTATTCCAAAAATCTGTTTCCAAACACAGTGACAGATAGACAAAATACACAACAAGTTATGCTACTGATGAAAGCAGATAAAAGATCTTCTGGTAAGCATTCATAAAGAAAGACAGCTCTTTACCACCACTACGAACAAACTGTCCTCAGGTTATAACCGTAAGTGAGTCTGTAATTGCTGTCATAAGTCATGAGCGTCATAAAGCAGGTCCCACAAACCTGATTTTATGACCTTCTTTTGCGGCGGATGTTAAGCATGTATGGAGGTTGTTAAAGTGAATATTGGGTGGGTTTTGTTGGAAATTGCAAGTAAATGATTGTTTCTGGTAAAAACATCATACTGTAGTTCAATTTCCTCAAAACACATTTCTCCAGTCTAGAGCCCCATTGATGTGCTAATACAGACATGTCAAACACAAGGCCCGGGGGCCAGATGCGGCCCGCAAAGTGGTTTCATGTGACCCACGAAGCCATCCTGGAAACAGTGAGGGAACGGCCCCCGCTGCCTTGGCCCTGGCCAGGCCGGCTGGGAGCCAATGTACAATTTTGTGGTGGCCATCTATGCTGAAATGCATTCAGTCTTAGCTCCACAAGGCCATCTAGAAAAAACGAGGAATCAGCCCCTGCCATGTCGGTCCCACCCCCTGGGTGCATGCTGGGGAGGTGTCACCCTTTGTGAGGAATGAAGAAATGGACCATGCCTTGGCGCTTGTCCCAGTCCCACCCCCTTCTGCCAGAGACCCTCGGATCTGTCCCACTCCTGCCCAGGCCCCCACAGGCACCCTTGACGCGAACGATGTAGAGCTGGCCATGCCCACCCAGTAGGCCACACCCACTCCATCCACGCCCACCCAGTAGGCCGCCCCCCCAAGGGCAACCGCAATGCTGATGCGGCCCTCAATGAAATTGAGTTTGATACCCCTGTGCTAATACAACACTCAGAGTTTCTAACTCATGTCACAACAGGTTGCAATTATTATTTTTTTTAAAAAAATGCCATCCCTTAATATTGTGGGCACCACCAAGGAAAGGATTATACGGCATCTCTCCACTTCATTTTGGAGACTCCATTGGTCAGCCACCTACCTGTTCCAATATATTTTGTTCCCTCATTAATTTCTGCCTCTCTCGATTGGGTTTAATCACCACCACGTCCAAAACCTCTTGGCCGTTGTTCTGCACATCCGCCACAAAGAAAATGAGATCTTCCAAGAGCTTCGTGACAAACCTAAGATAAGTTTGAGACAAGGATAGGATCTTGAACAACAATAAAGAAGGTTCATTTCCACGTCAGTTCAACCTCCCCTAAATTCCACACCGTCGAATGACGACAGATCTCAACACAGCTGATCGTTACAAAACATCTGGACTCAAATCTGAAGTCTTTTTTCATCTCCAACCCCTCTCCAATCCACATTTAGTTCCCTAACCCAGATTAAAACTAGCCAGATGTTGCCAGCTAGGGTGGTTATACAGAACTGTTATTCTAAAAAAAACCCACATAATAATGCAATTATTTCCTTATAATCACAGTACATTCCATCAGGAAACACTGAATAGAAAAGGAAAGAGAGATCACTCGCCTCCTTTCATTTTGAGTTACCGAGCCGTTCTCCAAATTTTTGACCATCGATGCTAAAACCTTGTTGGCATCATTTGCAAAGTCCAAGTCTCTGACCTCCGACAGAGGAACAGACACGATGGCAAAGGCTTCTTTGTCTTCTTTTGTCTGGCAGGTTCCAATCTATGGATCGGGAGGAAAAAGCAATAAATCAACCTATCTATCAATTTGTCTTTTACCATCCATCATCTATCTATCTATCTATCATTATCTATAATCTATCATCAATATATCTGTAATCGATTATCTATTTATCATCTATCATCTATCTATTTATCATCTATCAATCAATCATCTATCATCTATATCATCTACTATCAATCATCTATCTATCTATCTATCTATCTATCTATCTATCTATCTATCTATCATCTATCAACTATCTACCCATCATCAATCTATCTCTCTATCTATCTCTCTATTTCTCTAACCATGCATCCATCATCTATCTTTATCTATCATCTATCATCTATTTATCTTGTATCTGTAATCTATCAATAATCTATCATGTATGGATCTATA